TCCGACATTAACAGCTAAAAGTTCATCATAAGTTAATTTAATAGTGGAATAAAAATAATAATAAACTTTTATCATGGGATTTCCCATAAGCTGAAAGTTAATATTTAGTGCGTTTTCTAGGGAGTGCAAATATATGTATCAATATGTACATATAGACAAGGTAAATAAACAACCCGAATCAGCGGCAACGGCGAGGACAAAGCCAGGGAGAGGTGGCGAAGTCAATAAAGAACCAGGATAGCGCTAAACTGGTGTCGCTGTCAATTATACTAGTCTATAATATTTGAGAAACAGAATGTAGACGGGAATGTTTTTATTATTATTATCTAACTATGTAAGTTAACCTGCTAACTGGGGTGTGTTGGAGAGATTGGATTGAATGGTTCGTCCCCTCTACTACCAGCAGGCGCAGTAACTTTTGCCCCAGGTAATGAGGCCCGTCAAAGTATAGAATTCTCTGGGTGAGTCTCTGGGGCGGAGCTGTGTTCAAGGGGATGGATGGGGGAGGGGGATGCACTCATTAATTCCGAGATCCTGCAGTTAGGCTATGAAGTTAACCTCTCGGGCAAGTCAAGAGTCATTGACGAGATACGTGTTCACTCAGATGGAATGGGGACATCATAGAGGGAATTTTCCGCATGAATACCTGTTCCCGGGTTGGTTCCGCAGGGAGACTCTCCAAAACCCAAACCAACAGAGCTTCATCTAGACATGACTGTTTAAATTTAGCCATATCCATGTACTAGCCAATTTCCCATCCTTCCAATGGTAGGAAATGGATTTAGAGGTAGGCTACCAGGAACTAAGGGCTCAAAATGTGCCAGGTACGACAGCGCCGAAAACTCTTGCTTATATTTGGGTGGGAAGATGGACTGGAAGTACCTTGGATGGTCCGGCATCTTCCTCTTCCTTGGGAAGTCCATGCGCATCCGGAGAATGTCCCAGTCGATGATTGCGGTAATACGGCCGCCCTCATCGACCAGAATATTCCGGGAGCTTAGGTCGCCGTGAGCAAAATGGATTATGTGATTGTCATTTGAGAGTAGATGAGGGCCTTGCGTACCCTGAGTGTTGTGAGCCAGAAAATTGTTGAGCTCATTTGCTGTCTCCAAAGGTCCACCCCAGAAGTGCCATTCACTCCCTCGATTTGTTATTCTGTCCGATGTTGAAGCTAAAAGAGATATCGGGCAAGCTGGTGGCAGGTGGAGACCCTCTGGTCCGGAGAAAGCTTCATCCAAGCATCTTCTAGTGATCGGCCTGGTACATATTCCATCACAATGTAAGAGAAGCCGTCCTCCGCATCCAATTTGTGTCATTGACTTTCGGCACAGGTATATTTGTGTTGGCAGCGATATATAGCATGCTATCGCTTCCTCGGCAACCCTCATGCGGTTGCTTCCGGACCCGGTGCTCGTCCAAATGGATAACCTGGTACCTGCCAAACATATCATTCTCAGCGCCCCTGGCCATAGCCGGCTAATTGATT